TCTAAAATCCTTACCACTACTGGCCCCAACTCTGGCAGTCTTGATTCAGCTTTTCAGCTTTAATTGAACATCATGCATTTAACTCTCTTCTGAATGACAGCTTAAATACAGAGATCCAACCTGCCCTGTGTAGATCTTCAGGGTTTGAATTTTCAGAGACACTATGCATCTATGATGCTAGCTGAAATCAGTGGAAATTGTAGGGGCCAAAAAGAGGGCATTAAAGTCCCACTGGACTTTTTTTTCTTCTTTTTTGTAAGTGGAGTAGGTAATGACTCTGATGTACCCCTTTGTGCTTTGGGGTCATTTGCCACCAGAAGTTACCTGGCAAATGAATTTTGGGCAGCCTTGAATGAACCTTCAGGATGAAGGTGTAATATGTACATTATTATTTCTGTGTATCCAACCGAATTGCTTCTCTTTGTTCCTATACCCTCTCGTCTCCCCCCATTCTGCAGCAGTGGAGGGCAGCCACACTTCAGTAGGAACACAGGATTGTAAACAACAGATCCATCACTATGAGCAGCTTCTACATATAATACAAAGACTAGGATGAAACAATCCCATGCACCAGTATAGACTGGGGACAGACTGGCTTCGCAGCAGCTCTGCAGAAGAGGACCTGGGGGTTACAGTGGACAATAAGCTAGATAGGAGCCAAGAGCATGCCCTTGTTGCCAAGAAAGCTAATAGCATACTGGGTTGCATTGGTAGGAGCACTGTCAGCAGATCAAGGGAACTGATTATTATTCATCACTGGTGAGGCCACATCTGGAGTACTGTGTCCAGTTTTGTGTCCCCCCCCCCACAAAAAGAAGGTGGACAAATTGGAGAGTCCAGCTGAGGGCAATGGAAGTGGTGAGGGGGCTGGGGCACATGGCTTATGAGGAGAGGCTGAGGGACTGGGCTTATTTAGTCCAGAGAAGATTCAGAGGAGATTAATAGCAGCCTTCAACTACCTGAAGGGCGGTTCCAAAGAGTATGGAAATGGACTTTTCTCAGTGGTAACAGATAACAGAACAAGGAGAAATGGTTTCAAGTTGTAGCAAGGGAAGTTTAGGTTAGATATTAAGAAAAACTCTCTCACCAGGAAGGTAGTAAAGTACTAGAACAGGTTACCCAAAGAGGTTGTAGAATCTCCATCCTTGGAGGTTTTTAAGACTCGACTCAAAGCCTTAGCTGGGATCTAGTTGAGAATGATCCTGCTTTGAGCAGAGGGTTGGACTAGATGACCTCCTGAGGTCCCTTCCAACCCTAATTTTCTATAATTCTATGACTCTTACTACTGGCTATGGTTAGAGTAGGGGAGAGGGAATGGAAATTAACTGAACACAGATGTGCTCCAAGAAATGCCTTGAAGTAGCCTGAATCTTTCTAATCCATATCGTGTGCTTTAAGCAACAGAGCAGCACAGAGGCATAACTTACCAGGGTCTGTGCCATGGATAGCAGTGGCGGTAGGGGGTGGATCAGCAGCAAAAGCTGCAGTTCTTGTGTCCTTTTAAGTGGGTGTCTGGGGCTAATGCCCTGATCACCCACCCCTTATTATGCTATTGGATTAGCAAAGGTACCCTTCCATGACAATGTCCCCCATGCTTTGGAGGACTGAATAGTCAAACTGGCCTGTCCCTCCCTCTCTTTCTCTATATACATACTGACATAGTTCTTGATGCAGAATAGCCAAGAGCAAGTAGCCTCTAAGACAAAAAATGGTGGACCTGCCATTTTTTCATGGGTTCTCTGCTCCTAAAATAGAGACTGTCTTATTACTTCTTTTTTATACATTTAACTACTTCCTTTTTAAAAATCTATGTTTGCCCTTTTGATGTACTGCCTACCATAGTTTTGCTTCATTTTACTGGCTTCAACTATGGTTAATAACCTGATGAGCCACGCCATTTAGCCACACAAGCATACTTCTTGCCTTTTGTTTTTCTTTTTGTTCAGCTCTGTGCCTGCCTTCTGAGACAGTTACAGTTTCCAGTAACAGCCATGCCAAATATTATGATAACAAGAGGCAATAAAAAAACGCATTAAATTTGGCAAGTATACCCTGTGGAAATATGCACAGGGCAAAAAAAGACATGACCAATCAGTTTTTCACATGGATTGGAATCTGATTTATAAATCATGTTCTCGCTCTTTCTCCTTTATACATACTTTTCTTGCAACAAACCTGCATCAGCCAACAAGTCTAGGACAGAATTATGCTTGGAATAAAAAGGCCAACCATGAATCTCTTCCCTTTCAAAAGGTTTTGTTAGCTTAATGTCCTATCCCTGTTTTATTAGTATGCTGTATCCTTACAGTATAGTTTAACACTGTTTTAAAGATTTTTGTTTATAGATTTTCCTAAGCCTTTTTACATACTCTCTCTTCCTCTGAAATATATTCCTGTTCATACCATGAAATACTAAGCATACAAATGATCTATGTGAAGAAAATATTCTTCCCTTCAAATGACAAGATTTTAATCATAAAGGATACATTTCAAGAGCACTTTATTAAACCTGACGGCTGACTAATTGAACCTTGAGCAATTAAGAAAACAACTGATAATTGAGCATTTAGAAAGGGATTGTTCCACTGAAAGAATCTGGGTATTACTATTTTTTTTTTTTTTTACAATTTTTAGATCTGCAGTTCCACAAATGCAGTGTTGAATCAGACATCATTCTTTCTAAGTTTACACCCACATTACCTGAGATCATTTTAGCATGAAGAATGACACATTGCTTAGGATTCTCCTGGTTAGCAGAGCCCAGGAAACCTAACATATAAAAATACTAAGGCAGCCAGGTGGGCAGATGGACACAAGAATTTGTTTTGTGGAATAGACTAGACGTCTCACAATTTGAATGGCCTCTACTTTCATGCTTGAGGCTCTTATACAAGTCATCAGGTCCACTGCTGTGGCATTCAATAACAAAATGGACAACTGAGTAAATAAAAGTCCCCTTTGCAGAGAATGCCTTCCCCTGCTTTACAAAGAATTTCAAACAGGTCTTCCTCCCATGTTTCCTTGGCATATTGGATGCTGCCAGCAACTCTCCCATAGGTACAACCATAATTCTTTTCAGGTATTTCCTCTATTGCCAAGAACTGGGGTAGTCCATTACCTGGATATATTAATTGATTTGACATAATAGACTTAGTCACTATTAATCCTAACAAGACATATTCATGACATTAGAATTACTGCTATTCTTTATTTCTCCAAACAACACAGAATGTCTCTTTGGAAGTGAGATGGGAGAAGGGTTTACAAATATATTATGTTGCTATTTACCACTCAAGACTGGTTTCATATTTGATTGCTTTCCATAAGTGAAATGTGGTCTCATATGACTGTAGTCTTCTTTCACACTGAGTTTGGGTTATTCTGTAAGATTCTTTAAATTTAACTGTAGTGACAACTGAAAAGTAACAGTGAAAATTAACACTGAATAGGTTTCTGTTCTCTTGCTGTCAAATAATAACTGTCTTCCTCATGTTCGGTGAATTCAAGTCACTACCTTGCTCAGGCTCTTGCATTCAAATCAGTGTCGCTTTCTTTTACTTTTCTTTTTTTAGACTGGACATCTCCACAGGTTCTGCTGCCTTTCCTACTAAATATTACAATTTGTATTTCTTCTGTTCCTTTCATTTGGATTTCAGTAAGTCATCCCATTTGACTGTGGACTCTGACTCTCCTTTTTTAGGAATTTCTGGAAACAGTGATTGCATTTTATTGTGAAATTCTTTCATCTGTAAAAGAGATTCAAAAAAATTACAAATTAATTAATGGTTGTTAAAGAGGAAACCAATCAAGGAAGACATGCATCAGAAACTGGCTCTGACTGTTTGAGGTGAGGAAGAGGGGGTGAATGGAGAAGAAAGAACCTGAAAGAAATTATAACCTAGGCATTTCTATCTATGAATATTATAATTCATGGTTAACCAGCCAAAAAACAAACATGTCAGAGGACAATGCCCTAGCTTCACCACTGAACAAGACTGGCTGGGTTGTTTCCCTTTGACTGTTTGCTTCCAGATGACTGCTACACTCTTACATACACATAACATGACTTTGAGAAGTTGGTCTGTATACTCAAGGATGACAAACTACATGCAAACTCAGTTGATCAATATTTTTATGGAAGAAAACGGAGTCATTTCCTGAGCAGTTCCAGGGAGCCTAGGTGCTTCAGTTGAAGTCCTTGGCCTACAGAGCCATCCCCTCTAACATAAAAGTGGCTGCATCTCATGTGTTAAATTCCAAATATCTCTGGCTATTTTCTGTGAAAGAAACGCTGAAGGAAAACCAACAGTTCTTATGTGAACATTGCTGGAATGCAGCAATCCAAATTACAGTACATACCACAGATAAGCAATGAATTAATTTTTATGAAATGGCAGTCTTCAGAGATGCAATACTTGAACAGGATGCAAGAAAGTGTCTTAGAATCCAAGCCGAGAAAAACAAATTCCCTATACACTGCTGCTCAAGTAAGAAGAAACCTCGGAGTTACATTAACCTCCTTGAGAAGTGTCTGAATGCAGATTTCACTCTCCACCCCATTTCTGATGGCCCTTATTCTATTTCAAACGGCCAGACCTTATAATCACAGGTAACAATCGTTGGTTAATTCTTCTGTTGTTTTTTTAAGTCTGCATATCTTTAATATTTCTTTAAAATTATTTTGCTACCTATTTAAAGCTTCAAAAGTGTTCATGCTTCCTAAGCTGATACCTCTCAGGAACACAGTACGCAATTGTCAAAGCTCAAATAAGGGACACCTCAAATTACGTTAAACAACTGATGACCTCTACACACAAGCTCTTGTACTAAGTATGCCTATAAAAGCTTTGTGGCTCAGCTGTCCTCCTATCTTCTATAATTAAATCACCTCAGTATACAAACCGCCATATACTATATACTTTACATTTACAGCAAATCATTATTTCCTAGCCAGTCAATCAACCCCTGATAGTTTCTAACAATGAAACACTTGCTCTAAGTGGCAGGTGGGTATTTGAAAATAGATAATGACTCAGATTCTCAATGAGTATAAACTATGGTATCTCTTCTGCTCTTAACTGAAATACAACATTTTATACTAGCAGAGGATGTGACCCAATATGTCTCAACTACACCTCTACCTGCAGATTTCATTTTACTTCTTTTACTGTCAAGTTTTTAAATACAATCATAAGCTTTCCCCCCAATTACCACATGGATGACGCACAAAAATTTGCAGAAAAATTGAAGCAATTGTAGGAACGTTCCACAAAGGGGAAAAAACATCCAATAAAACTTACTGCTTCCCCAATCATAAGAGCTAACTCATTACAACTAAAATGCCAAATCTCTAACACCACAATGTACCATAAAATCGTTTCTGGGCTAAAAAAATACTAAGGATCTACTTGAGAAAAAGTTACTGATCCAAAAAATACCAAACTTTTCATTGTAGCTGTGGTTTTAAGAATCCTCCAGTCCTTATCTCCTCCCAGAATGCATATTTATCTTTGGAGGTAAAAGGGGTCATTTTCTGAAAAAGCAATTCTTTCTTTCCTGCTCATAAAAGTTGGAATCTAGGAAGTCTTGCTTTTGTCTTTAAAGATCCTTCACAAATCTTCTCAAGAGTATAGATATTCGGATTTAGATATTCATTGCGTCACTTTGCCAGGGATGCTAGACCTGGTGTCTCATTTGTCTTTTTTTCACTCTGGCATCCGTGCCCATAACAGTGCCTGTGTATGTAATGCTCACCTCTTCCAACTTCACAACATTTCTAACCTAACTGCTTCTCAATGTCTCTCTATAACTTTCTCCATGGTGCCCAGCTATGCGGGTGATGATGTTGAATTATAGCTTCATGTTAATCTTTCTTGTGGGCTTACTAATGCATCCTCTCTTATCCATATTATCTCTACATTGCCAGCCCTTTGAGGGGAGCAATTATTTACTGCACTCTGACTGGTACAGCCAGCATTTTGCTGGCCACTAAATAGTATTAATGTTCCTACAGCATCTTTAAAACAAATCTCTAAATGAATCTTATTTAACAAACCTAATCTTAGGTCTTCTAATTAGGGACCATAAACCCAATTCTCTGGATTGGTTGTTCTGCTTGACACAGGAAGTAATTTAGCCCCCAGCACCCCAATTCATTAAAAGCATACTCAGGGTAGCTCTAATTTGCATGTGATTGCCAAGAGACCTAGAGAACTATTTTGACTTCTGAGGATCACTGTGGTGCTGCTATCCAATGCCCATGACCCTTTTTTGGTCAGCTGTAACTCCAAAGTCTGGACAGCATACAGACAGCTCTACAGTACCAATGGAGTCCCCCATGCTGGCATTTTACAGTAGGAATTTCAGGGGACTGGTTAGTCCCACATTAGTCCTTCAGTATTCTTTACAGTAAGTGGCTCACTTTTGAATAGCAGGGGAAAAAAACTAATAGCAGCCAACATGAATTTACATGTCATCCCTATTCTTTTTTAGAAACTCTGCCATTCAGGTAGAACCACACAGAACAAATCCTTTCTTACTAACACTCATGACACAAAGGTCTTTTTCCTTCATATTCTCACTATACCTATCAATGGTCTAAAACAAAATATGAACATTAGTTTAATCATAGAAAACTAATGTGTGATGTACTGAGTAGTGCAATCTCTGGAATAATTCATTGAAGTAGCCAGCAACAATAGGGCATTTGGTTCAACTACAATAATGTCCTAATAAAAGTGTAGTAAAGCAAATACCAGAAGTAGAATATACTTCTCCTCTATCTCCAGTATCATGGGCTCCTCTCTAAAGTACTGTTTCTGGACCTAACAACATGAACAATTTGTGTAACACATTCCTTAACTTAATGTCGTAGCCCAACGTTCTGAATTCCTAGAGGAAGCTCTCTGAAGTAAAGCTTTTCACTCAGTTGATTTTTTTTAAACATAAGATGCTGCAAAACCTGATGCTGTTTTTTGCTGCCAAATAAATTACAGTAACTATTCCACCTCTGACTGTCAGGATTCTTTCTAAAGTGGTATCATCTACCTTACCGCATTAAATAATCTCTAATAGCTACAGATCACTGCTATTTTCTTATCTTAACCTAATGATCCTGCCTCAGGTGGCAAAATAGGGAGACCTAAAAGCATCCTCCATTTAATAATGTCTTCTAAATGTACATCGTTGACAGAATGTCACACAAAAATTGGGATAGTGCTATTACAGAGAGCACTTATGTGTCCGTTCACATTAAAATGAATAGAAGAGGGGATAAAAGTCTATTTGAATCCTAGAATGAAAGTTTTTCAAAGCAATGGTCTCTTTAGTGTTTGACATTCCTAATAGGCCAACCCAGATTCTGGGAATTATTAGATTTCTATTTTAGTACTAGTACAAGTAAGAACTGCTTACATTAGCTTTCATGAGAAATGAGGTTACATACTCTGAACTGGGGTACTGACTGGCAGAAGAATACAATAATAATACACCTTATACTCTAATCAGCCTTCCTACATTTCATAAGGCACGAAGATGAAAGAGGCTGCCCTGGATTTGTTAGGAGCATCACAGAAGTTTGTTCTTGCCACCCTT